ATGAGCTCTAGAAAGGCTCCTCGCACCGACACAGATCTCTTCACCGCCACGCCGGCATAAGCAGATGATTTCTTGTCACCCTCTGCTCTGCTTTCCCGGGACACCGCCGTGGCACGCACCAAACGCTGAGCGATGGGGCAGCCCCACAGCCCGCCTCTCCAGAAACCATTGGAAACTGGACTTCACCCTGGCAGCAATGGCAAGGAGATAGTCCCCAGGATTAAATAGAAATTAAAGTTATCTGTTCTGTCTGTCTCATTCATAGTCTTGCAGAAGGAGTATTTTTTTATGGGAGGAAAGGGCGCGTTCATTATTGGTATTCAGCACAGCGTCGCATGCGATGCATCGCTGCCCAGCTGTCTGCCTGAACCGCCCGGGATGGCAGCAGCAGCCTCAAGCCTGTCTTTTGGTGAGAAAAGAGCCCAGGAGAGAAGCAGCAGCTGCTGTGCTCTTCAGCACGCTGGGAACATGGGTCTCAGCTTCCATTCCCCCCCCCCAAATACGCTCCAGCCCACTGGGGAACTTCAGCACACGGATGCTCTGGAGCCGTGGTGCTGGGAGGTGCCTGCAATGCACATCGTAAATGGGGAAAGGATTTGCATGCTTTGCTGGATCACCTGAGCTGTCAGAGCAGCCTGGGTAGTCGGCAGGTAGCACAACAGCAGATAAATCTATATATCTTTATTATGTCTCGTTCCATGGCTGATTTACAGTGTTGCTGTGCTATAGGAATACAGTATAAAAAAGTCTATTTGCCGATTTTGATCTCTTCTTGTTGACTCTTAATTTTACAACACTCTAATTTGAGGTGCCAGCTGTTCCCTGACAAGGTTTCTGTATGTCAGAGGGGTAGGTGACAGCGTGGAGCTGCGGGTGCTGCCCTGGCCCAGAGCCCTTCCCGAGGGCGATGCCAGCCAGCAGTTCCTGCCCCGAACCCCTGGCAGGGGAGGGAAGGGGCTGCAATTAAAGGGGGAGGGAGAGGAATTTGGGGAGACAGTGGTTTGTCTCTGGGCCAGGGAAGAAAGATGGTTTTCTCCCTTTTTCTTGAAAAGATATTGTCTGCTTAAGGTGCAAAGAGGGGGTCTGGGTTGAGGTTTCTGAGCCAGGTTGCAGCTTTTTGGGAGTCACTCGTTATTTATTGATGCTTCTCCCTGGCCTTTGCAAGTCCTCTGGTCTGGTTCCCCTGGGGAATTGGTGTCCTTCCCCCCTGCTCCTGCCCCTGCCGTGTCCCCTAAGCCCCCTCTGCCATCTCTGCTATGTGCTAACGGGGTCTGGGGGGAGCCCCGTGGTGGGATGTCCTCGGTGTCCAGAGTCCCCGCGAGCCCTTTCCAGCGAGGACGGTGCGTGTACTCTGTTAGATGGGGAAAGAATTAAAGGGAACGGATTTTTTTTTAATTTATTTTAAACTATTTTGTTTTAAAGGCTGTCATTTTTCTAGGCTTTTTAACAAAACGCTTTCATCCGCGGTATCCGCAGCAACAGCCCGGAGAGGCTCCCAAAGTGCCGGCCCGGGGGCGATGGAGGGGGAGAGGGCAGCACAGGCAGGGGGCTGGACAGAGGCGGCCACCCACCAGAGAGCATCGCCGAGGCACAGACATACACCTGCCTAGGGCTGGGGAGGGATTTGGGGTGAGCCGGGACGGCTCCACAGACAAACCCACACAATCCAGCTGCTGGGTTATATTTAATAAGGAGAGTGATTAATTACTGGTGTTGGCGGGGCTCAGCACTGCACTTCCGAGGAAGACAAAGGACTTTGGCAGGACGTGGGGAGCAATAAAATGATGGAGGACTTGACCTGCGAGGAAAGGTTAAGAGAGCAAAGCACACTCCATCTTGGGAGAAAACATCCCAGGGGAGCCCTCCACGTGTGTGTGCTGGGGAACGTCGTCATTAGCGGCTGCAGATAAATTATCCCCGTTAGTGGCTGGGGATGGGCTGGGCAGGGGCGGGTTTGTCTGCACGGGGGTGAGGGGGCTGGTGGGATGCAGAGTCCGTCCTGCACCGAGGACCTCAGCCCTGCTCACTAGCGAAGCACAGCAAGTTGGAAAGTCCTTGATTTCTCAGCAACAAGTAAAAACATTAGTGTGTTAGCAACATTCTTCTCATACCAAATCCCAAAGTGACTCCAAAAGGTAGTGCTATTCCAGCTGCTATGAAGAAAATTAACTCCATCCCAGCCAAAACCATGAGTACTGGAGCTGTCTTGGCATCTCCCAGCCGTTAAAATGGATCCGTCTTGGCAGATGTGCACTCTGCATGGGGGTTTTTTTGGAGATCAGATGGGTTTGTGGCATGGGAGTCCTCATCCCCAGCCGTGAAACTCCTCTCCACGGCGGAGGTGTGGGTGGTTGGCATTGTCGATGAGGAGAGCCTGACCCTGAATTGAGGCAAGCCATGGAGACCAAATCCCTCCCGATCCAGGAGGAGAGGGGTGGACAGAGCCATGGGGCGTCTTCTCTGTGCTGGAGCCTCCCAGGGCTCCCAATGAGCCCTGGCAGGGCTGAGCATAACGTTTTGGGCAAGGACCTGTCTCAAGTGCTCTCCTTCCCCGCAGGTGTCCCATCTGGCCCCCGCAACGTCATCTCCATCGTCAATGAGACGTCCATCATCCTGGAGTGGCACCCGCCGCGGGAAACGGGGAGTCGGGACGACGTCACCTACAACATCGTCTGCAAGAAGTGCCGGTCCGACCGGCGCGCCTGCTCCCGCTGCGACGACAACGTGGACTTTGTCCCCAGGCAGCTGGGGCTGACGGAGACCCGCGTCTTCATCAGCAACCTGTGGGCGCACACGCCGTACACCTTCGAGATCCAGGCTGTCAACGGGGTTTCCAACAAGAGCCCCTTCCCCCCGCAGCACGTCTCCGTCAACATCACCACCAACCAAGCTGGTGAGTGCTGGGGTGACGCGGTGCCAGGGGTTTTTAGCCATGCACGACCCATTGCAAGCTCCGTGTGGAAGGAAGCTCCACGTCCAAATGAAAAAAGCTCCCAAGGTGTCCATGGTGTGGGATGACTGTGGTGAACCTGCACCTGGCCCTGGTGGGGCTGTGGGAAGGTGGCAAGCGGGGAGAATGGGCAGGGGGAGAGGGGTGGGAGAGGTGGAGGGGATACCCACGCCCTGGGCAAAGTGGGAGCTGGGTTGTGGGAGGGAAAGGGGTGAGGACCAATATCTGCTGCTTATCCCCATCTAGGGTTGCTTGGGGACGGAGTGGCATTGCCATATTCCCCTTTTCCCTGGTGGGAGCAGGGAGACAGGGCGAATCCAGCCTTGAGACGCAGCCTGGCTGCATTACGGCACGGGGGAAGCAGCCTCCCAGGGCTGAGCTCAGGCTCCGTCTCCTCTGGCACATCCCTCTACCATCACTTTCCTCTCGTCCCCTGTCCCTTTCCCTCCCTCTTCCCGGTCGGGCATCAGGAGCTGAACGAGCGGCTCTGGGCCAAGCTGGGATGCCGTCGGGGCAGGCATGCGCATGGCAAGGGGGGACCTGGTCCTGGGCTGCACTGAGGAGCCCACCTGCTCTGGGCAGAGAAGGGGGACGGTAATTTCTGCTTTGTGCCGTGTGTGTGATGCCGGCAGCCTTCTCCAGCCTGCTCCCTTGGGAGAGCACGGCAGAGAAACCTGGCGTAAATGCATGAGCCTCCCGGCTCTGGAGAATACAGATCAATGCTTGTGCCTGGCTGGCATCGCTGTCTGCTTAACCACATGCAATCAAACCTGCCTCTTGTTTCCAGGCTTTTTTTTTTTTTCCAGGGAGGGATTTTTGGGGTGTTTCTTTGCTCATCTCCCACCCTGGGACTGCCCAGCACCCACGGCCGGCTGTCCGTACCCCAGTGCTCCCTGTTTGTCTTGCAGAGGCTGAATATTAGTCTGGAAATGCTCCGGCTGTGGGGTGACCTGATGGAAATGCATCAGGTGTGTCGAGGGCAGGATCGGTGCTGTCCCTCTAATACCCCACGGGATTTTCCTCCCAGCTTTCCCTGGGCTGGGCCGGATCCGGGCTGGTTTGAGCATCTCACCCCGCAGGGCTGCTCCCAGCCCCATCCTCCTGCGCAACCCCTGTCTGCACTCATGGGGCGGGGAATGCGGCAATTAACAAAACAGCAATCAAGCTAAGTGTTTAATTCCAGCCCATGAGCATCTTCTCTGAGTGGATGTGGAGAAATTAAGAAAAAAAAAAAAAGAGATTAAATATACTGGGTAAACAAAGGCGGTGCTGAACTATTGGCATCTCCCAGTGTGGCTGCATGGAGGGGGGCTCCCGCCGCCCCCAGATTCTCTCCATGGCACGATCCCGTGCCCCGAGCTGGTCGTGCCAAGCTCAGCTCTGCCTCAGTCCCATGCAGAGGAGGCATTTTCCCTGCCCAGTGCTGCCTGCGCTCTGGACACGGTGAGGAGGAGGGCAGAGCGGGCTGGACAGGAGCTGACCCTGTGCACAGGTCACACCAGTGCTGCTTTGGGCACAGAGAACTGTGGGTGCCTGTATTGGAGGCTTCTGGTAGGATTTCGTGCAGGATCAGGATCGTATTGGCTGGCTCTAGCCCTTTCAAGTATAACTTGGAGGGCAAAAAACCTTCGGAAAACTGGCTCCTGGTGAATTTAGGGCCTCAGTGTCCCTGATGGTGGAAATGCTGCTGCTGCTGGGGATCCTTGGCTCCAGGAATACTGGGTTCCGGGGATGCGTGGCTCCAGGGATACTTGGTTTGGACATTCTTGGCTCAAGGGATACTAGGTTCCGGGGATGTTCAGCTCCAGGGATACTGGGTTCCAGGGATGCTTGGCTCCAGTGATACTGGGTTCTGGGGATGCTTGGCTCCAGGGATACTGGGTTCCAGAGATGCTTCTTTCCAGGGATACTTGGTTCCGGGGATTCTTGTCTCCAGGGATACTGGGTTCCGCTGATTCTTGGCTCCAGGGATACTGAGTTCCAAGGATGCTTTTCTCTGGGGATACTGGGTTCCGCTGATTCTTGGCTCCAGGGATACTGAGTTCCAAGGATGCTTTTCTCTGGGGATACTGGGTTCCGCTGATTCTTGGCTTCAGGGATACTAGGTTCCAGGAATGCTGGGTTCTGGGGATGCTAGGTTCCAGGGATACTGGGTTCCAGTGATTCTTGTCTCCAGGGATACTGGGTTCCAGGGATTCTTGACTCCAGGGATGCTTCTTTCTAGGGGTACTTGGTTCCAGGGAAGCTCAGCTCCCTGGGAGGCACAGAGAATCCCCAGTATTGCTGTAGTGCACACTGGGAGTGATGGAGGGAGCAGCAGCAGTGGGCACGATGTGCCTGGCTGCTGTTTTAGGAAACTCGCTCGCTTAGCTCTGCTCTGATGTGTGATCTGAAATACCCTGGGCTGCTTTGCAGAGCAGTGTGGTGTGTGGCATTGCTGGCGGAACCAATTAGAAACCCAAGGCCGGGGGGAAGGGGGTCAGACAAACCACAGCAGGCTCCCACCTGATGCTGATGGCGTGCTCGGCCAGTGTGGAGCATCTTGCTTTCTCCAGGGGTGCTGGGACCAGATGCCCGAGCCCGCTGTGGTTTGGTGCCCAGGAGGTCTCAGGGATGCAGGGACGGAGGTGCTGCCTTTCCAGCACCTTTGCGGCATGGCCCCAGGGTGGGTAAGGAGCTGAGGGATGGTTTGAGACTTCTGCAAGTGTTTGGGCTGCAGAAATGAAACTCCCGGGATAAGCACGTGTGGGTGCCGGGGATGAGCATCCCCCGAGAGCCCCTGAGAGCAGACCCAGCAGCTCCTTGGGGACAGGGCTGAGCCAAAGCAGTGCTACAGGCTCCCAC